TGCTTGGTAGATTTTGTTCCAGCCTTTAACATTGAAAATGTGTTTGTTTTTACCGGCAAGATGTGACTCCTGCAGGCTGCAGATAGAAGGGTCTTGTTTTTTAATCCAACTAGACAGTCTATGTCGCTTAATTGGAGAATTCAGTCCGTTAACATTAAGAGATAGGACTGAGAGGTATTTGGGAGTTCCTGCCATGTTATCTACCTTTTTGGGGGCTGCGAAAACTGGGTTCTTCCTATGGTTCTTGGATTCTCAGTTTGGGTGCAGTTTCTTGGCCTTTATTGCGGTCTTGTTGGTTTTCTATGTGTAGGACATCTTTAAGAATCTTTTGTAGGGCTGGTTTGGTGGAGATGTATTGTTTCAATTTTTCTTTGCTATGGAAGGTTTTTATTTGGCCTTCGGTTATGAAGGAGAGTTTAGCTGGGTACAGTATTCTTGGTTGGTAGTTGTTTGTTTTTAGGGCATGGCATACATCGTTCCAGGCTCTGATTGCTTTGATTGTCTCTGCTGAGAAATCTGAGGTGATTCTAATTGGTTTCCCTTTATAAGTGATTACCCTTTTCTCTCTGACAGCTTTAAGGATCTTTTCCTTGGTCTGAGTTGATCCTGTGTGGATTATAATGTGGCGGTGGGATGTCCTATTCTGGTCTGGTCTATTTGGGGTTCTAAAGGCTTCTTGTATCTGGACAGGCCTATCTTTTTGCATGTTTGGGAAGTTCTCTGCTAGGATCCTGTTAAACAAGTTTCCTAGACCATTAACTTCTGTTTCTAGGTGCTCCTCTACACCCATTATCCTTAGATTAGGCCTTCTGATGGTGTCTTCCAGGTGTTGGATAGATCTATCATATTTCTTGGACTTGTCTTGGATGGTTGTATGTTCTTTCTCTATAATATCTAGGCTGTCTTCAATCCCTGAGATTCGATCTTCTGCATGGTCTAACCTGCTGTCAAGACTCTCTACTTTGTTTTTTATCTCTTTTCCTTCTAGTTGGTCAGCTTTGATGGCTTCAATTTCTTTGTTGAAGCTCTGTTTTAGGTCTTGTATGAATTTCTTTACTTCCTTAATTTGGTGTTCAGTGTTTGTCCTCAAATCACTTAGTTGATTGGTTATGGTTTCTTTGGGCTCCCATTCCTTCTGTTGGGTTCCCTTCAGCATTCCCTTTGTGGTCTCCCTGACTTCCTTCAGCTCTTTGTTAATGGATTCCATGAATGCCTTTAGTGATCTTTGTGTGTTCTCTATCTGGTCTCTCAATTCCTGTATTACTCTTTGATTAGCTTCCTCCCGTTCGTGGGATTCCTGCAGATCTCTTTGAGTGTTCTCAGCCTGCTCACGCCATTCCTCCCTTTCTCTGAGTATTCTCAAGTTGTTCACGCAAATCCTGTATCAGTTTTTGAGTAGCTTCCTCACGCTTATGATATTCCTGTATAAACTTCTGGGATGCCTCCTCTCTCTCCCTGTCACGCTCATACAGAGTCCTTTGTACATTGTCAAACTTTTCATTTATCATGTTTGCCAGCAGTGTTTGTAGAGCTGTTTGGGAACTCTCCTCTGGATTATTCATTATCTGTTCTAACCCCTGATTATCAAGATTGGGAATTGAGATACCCAAATTTGCCATTTTTCTTGTGTTTTTCCGGCTTACTCTGCCCATTTGAGATGAAGATAGCACCAGTTTTGTGCTAGAACACTATCTTAAGGCAACCATCAACCAAAGTTTGCATTTGTACAGTCAATAGTCTACAGATACAATCTAGTTCAACAGATACATCTATTCGACATCAAACAACTATATGTTAAAGGACTACGAACCGCAGAGAAGAATTTGGAAAACCAGAAATTATTAGGGTTAGGGAGAGATGTGGGTAAAAAATAGGAATAGATTGGTGTGGGGAGGCACAGGGAGAGTTAACTATGTCCTAATCACAGTGCAGGAAATAGGTTGGGTAGGATGCAAGTAGAGAGAGAGAGAGAAAGAAGAAAGGGAAAGGGGAATGAAAAGAGACCAGAAAAAAAAATAGAAACGTAAAAATTAATGTTATTTTAGAGATTAAAAGACCATCTACTTATAGAGGAATATGAATATGTTGAGAGAAAGGGAGGGACATAGAGGAGATGTGGAAAACTTTAAAAAAATGCTTAAAATATTATATAGGTATAAAGAGGTAGTACTGCTATTAATGAATTTAAGTCTCAGAGGTTTTGAATTGAGTAATAAGTTTGTGGGTTAAGTGTGTACACATGGGGGGTAGGGTCTACTGGTTAACTATGGGTTTATCTGAGGATGTGCAGGACAAGAGTTAAGTCACATAAAGAAGAACAAAGAGGAAAAGATGGAAAGGATAGGAAAGTGAGAAGAAAAGATCAGAAGTTCAGTAGAGCCAGACAAAAAACAAAAAGATAATTAAGAATGAAAGAAAAAGAGAAAGAAGACAAGAAAAGAAAGGAAAACACACATTCACGTATTCCTAAAATAAAAATTATAAGAGGAGAAAAGAAAAAAAAAAAAAAGTTAATGGAAAACAATTATTTTTTCAGAAGAGGCAAAAATTAAAGATTAATAAAAGTTTTAGAAAAGCAAAAAAATTTTTTTTATATATATAAGGTAACAAAAAAACGAAGAAAAAAAAACAAAACAAAAAAAAAGAAAAAAAGAAAAGAAGAAGAAAAATAAAAATAAAAAATAAAAAAAAAAAGGTCTTTGATTTTTTTTTTTGGGGGGGGGGGGAAGGGTGGGAAGAGTCCTGTATCTCCCTTTTGTCTCTAACCAGAGTGTGGTTGGAGTCTCTGGTCAGCTTGAGGTCCTGTGGCTTGATTGGTTTCTTAAGTCAGTTTGTTGGAACAGGCAGAAAAATGCTCTCTCTGCTTTACGCAAGATTTTGTGATTCCCCCTCCCAGGTTAGTTTACTGGGAGGGTGATCTGCTTTGAGAATCACAAAAGAGGGGGATGCAGTGATGAGGCTAGGTTCTGGGTTGAGTTGAGGCCTTTCAACAAACAGTAGCTTTTCCCTGGGGCTATTTTGTGAAAAAAACTCACAGCACCCAGCCTGGAGCCATTCTCAGGGTTTCTGTTTTTCAATTGATTGTGGTGGCTGCTAGAGGGAGGGGCAGCCTCTGGCTCTGGTTACCCGGTGAGGAGAGCCACTCCAATGGCTGGCGCCTGAGCTGGGTGACTTTTCCCTGGATGGAACTGAGTCTGTGAGGTCACTTCGCCGTTAAGTTCTTGTGACCTGCTAAATGACTCGTTTTATTCCAAGGCCTGAGCTGGAGCTAGCCGCTCCTCCGAGCTTTGTCGGTATCCAAGATGGAGATCACCGGTGCTGGGGTGGGGGGAGGGGTGGCCTTCCCTCCTCTGCTCCCTGGGAAGGAGTGAGGAAGTGGGGCTACTCACGCCGAGTCTTGGATCCTGGGTCGTCTCTGGTCTGCAAAGTGCAGGATGAAGTTGTCCGCTCCTTGTCGGTTCTTGCTGGTGTTGAGTAGAATCCGCTCGCCCACTGCGTCTGGCTCCTTCGTCCTGGACTCTCTGTGTGAGTGCTCAGGTATGGCCGCGGCTGCGGTCGCCGCTGCGACCCTGCCGCCGCAGCAGCAGCTGCTGGCAGACGCTCAGATGTGTCTGCTTGGCTTCCCCTCTTTTGGCTAACTTTCTGTCCTGTGATGGCACACTTGGTGTGATTCTCTGGCTTGGGACTGTTCACTGGAACTCTGAAACTGTTTTCTATGTAAGAGCTTGTTCAGATTCCAGCTTCTCCTCCGCCATCTTCCCGGAACCCCTTGGGCACTGTTCTTGAGCTTTTTTACTAAAGGCTAATGCTTGAAGACTTGAGCAAAAGTTCTATTTCCAGATTTTGGGGTTTAATTGGGGATCAGAGTTTCACAGATTTCCCTGTCTTACTTGGCTTCAAACTATGCTTCTCATATCTCTGCCACCTCCTATATAGCTAGAATTATAATTATGAGTCACCAGTGTCTGGCAAGGAATAACACTTTAAAGAAAATCCATTCCTAGTTGAGATACATCCCATCTACCAAATTTTATATTGTATAAAAGGACTGCAGATTTGTCAGCAGACAACAAGTTTCTCTCTGGATGCTGAAGATCAGAACTAATCCATGATATATATCTCATGATCTCTTCCAGAACAAGTCTGAACAGCTCAGAGCCAACCAGGCTACACTTTTAAAGGAGCCCTGAAGAAGCTTCAGACAAAAACATGTTCCACATATCCAATTTCAAGATAATGGATCTAGTGTAGAATACAATTGACTGCATTGGAACAATCCTGTTTATCGGAAGACTCCCATTTTCTGTATGAATACGAACTGATTTTAGAACACTTGAACATCATGTGTGAAAACCTCAATTTTGAAGGATAGCAGCAGACAGGATCATGTGTATGCCTCTGGAGCTGAAATAAAAGGGGATGGTTAGGATGCAGAAAAGCCTTTCTGGCCCTTGTACCCAAGCCTTCCAGTGACCTTCAGAGCCTGGGTGTTTCTAGGAAATATTCTCAGCAGGTAAACAGGATCATCTGGGGAAGCCCAGACTCTCACTTCTGCTTGATAGGAGTTTATGACTTGTATCACTGTGGGAAGAGTATTTTAACCTTGTTGACAGTAATAGACAGGCTCCTGAAGATGAGAATGAAGTCTCTCCTAGATCCATTTTAACTCAACCTACACTGGGCAGCTGATTCTAAACTGACTGTAAAGTAGATCAGGAAATTAGGAGCATTCCTGGTGTCTACTGATTCCAGGATAAACTGCTGCTGATGCTTAAATGGTATGGCAAGAGATGGTGACTCTCACTCTTTCATGGAGGTTAGAAGGGAGGACAGAGACTGGGTCATCTGGATGTCACATCTGGCACCTGACAGAGGAAACATGGAAATAAATACATTTACTGATAAGCGTGTTGTAGGAGAACTTCCATAGAATGCCAGATTGAATTCACCACACTGTGCTGAACAAATTAACAGTGCTGTCTTTATTACCTGAAAACCAGAGCTTCAGGAGTCCGCGGATCTGAGCAGAGAACCTCATGTCCATGCTGTGTGCCAGAGAAAAACTCCAGCATAGAATATGACTGGGCTGTGAAGAAACCCTCAAGTCAGAGGATAGTGCTTTGGGTATATGCAAATAAGCAGAGCCTGGACAGGGCTGAGCCCAGTGTCCCCAAGAATCGTCAGTAGATCAGCTTCAAATGCAGAAAACATGATTGTCTCTGGATGATGAAGAATAGCACCTGTCAAGGATCTGTGGGTAGGATGCCATTTTGATCTCTTCTGATTCCACTGCATTCTCTCCCTGGTCACAGTCCATTATGAAATGGCCTGTCTGTTACAGTATAATCCCCAAAAGTGCCACCTCTGACACATTCTTCACATCTCCCACAGGTATTACTGATAGCACAGATGGTTACTTTTTGCTTTGATACCATCATAATACTTTTGTGAAATTAGAGCAATGTAAAAGCAGGAGTGTTCTGACTTATAAGAAAGACCATTACCATTCATCCTTATACCATTAACTTTGGATAATAATTTGCCCTGTTCCTTTTATAATTTCTCTGTATCCCAAAGATGAGAATACTGTCCTTTCCCATCTGAGGCAATGTTCACAATTGTATGTGTCTTTGCCTGATCATTCCTGGATGCCAGAAATTACTGGCCTGAACTCTACATACTCTCTTATGTTTGTTGTTGATTTTGTGCTAAGACTCTTCAGATCTCAGCTACCTGTGTAGCTAGGATTATAGGAATAGGTCACTGGGCCCCAAATCTTTACCCACTGTTGATCCCATTTTCTTCAGTAGAGGCATCCTGTTTCTACCATATGTTCATTCATTCACCTGAATTTACTATGATCCCAAATCAGCAAATTCCACCAGGTCCCAATCTTTTAGTGCCTAAAGAAACATGTTTCTTATTGACTGGATTTAAAGCAATGGGGCCTAATATTGAGGAGAAAAGCATGTAAGGGAGTGAAAGTCAGTCTCCCCATGGGAGTTTGGGCATATTGGAGTCCAAAGTGTATCCTCACATGGGAGCAGTGTTACTGTTGGCAAAGTGATTAATAATTAAGAAGAATAAGCAACAATATTCACTGTTAGTAAGGGATCCTAGTTTGGGAATCAGACTCAGGCCAGGAGAGTAATCTACCTTCAACAATGACCACAGAAACATTGCAGAGAGAAGCAGGTGTGTGTTTGTCGATGTTGTCCACATTGGATAGATATATGATGGTGAAGACTAGGAGTGGTTATCAATGGAAGCATACATCAAACTTGCATTATTCATTAAAATAATTAGAGTCAAGATATTCACTCACAAATGTTTCCCATTTCTATTGAAAGGCAATTGAAATTAACTGTGGTTTGGAAATGGAATTAAAGGTATTAATGTAAGCTTTTGTTTCTCTCATTCCTTCTGCAGAAACATATGTACCCTTGTGCAGATAGAGAAGTTTCTACACAGTTCTCCATTGCCTGGAAAATAAAATGACTTTTCAATCCCCAAAATTCACCTGTAGTGTTGTAATACCATTATTCACTAATAGGAACTATTAATAGATAGATGAATGTCTATCTCTCCATTGGAGAACAAAAAAAATGCAAGATGATGTTGATTTAACTTGAAACTAAGGACAAGCTTCGAGGAAGACATCCTAGTACAAAAAATGAGACAACTAGTGAATGCCAGAAAAATTTAATTATGAGAATAAGATAATGATTTAACCTCTTAAGGAAAATATGAGCTAAGGAATTGATAGTGATGTTTTAATGAGGAATATCTTCTTCATAAGGTATTAAATGGCTTCTCCTCCAAGTCTTGTTTATTATAAAGGTGGAGAGTGCCAGCTCAGCTGAGAATTCTGACACCATCTTCATCCTAGTACAAAGTACAACTCACAGTCATAGGACACAGCAAAAGAGACTGCTGGGAGATACTGAGGTGCTTTCAAATCATTCAAGGTGAACTTACATATTTACACTGCAGAAGAGTCTGAGTTGGAGGAATGAATTGTGCACTCTGTTCTTCTATTTAGTAACATGAACATATTTCGTGCTCTGACATCATATGTATGCATATTAATAAAGTTTTGAAATTATATGTTCACATTTACATACTCTGTTAGTAATTTACTTTTCTATGTTGATGTTGGCTAATTAGAATGATTTACTATAAAGCTATTTTGTATGAATAAACTTAACTGGAGAATACAGATCATTACAGTTTTGATTGTGAACTTTCAGTACTCTGATAATCAATCCTATTAAGATATGATATTTTGTCTTTTATCCGTTTAAATCCTCTTGCTCATTGTTAACACACTTTTGCTCTCACCCTTGCTGATGCTTTACATAGGATCCACAGAACCTATGAGCTGTATGCTCAGAGTTCTGGTTACAGGATTTCCCAAAAGAAGTTTCTGGAGTGATTCAGATGAGTGAGGACATCAAGAAAGTGCCACCACACACACTCCTCTTCATCCTGCTTCAGGGGGCTTAGACAGGAGGTTTAGATGAGTGATATCTTGAAGAACTAAAACTTGATTTGGGTCGTATAGAATAAAGCAAATCATCTATATTATTCTGAAAGTTGTTGCATTGGAAAATCACTTACCCATACACATTTTAATGCGACCAATGATGCAATGTGTGGCCATTCTCTATTCCTGATGGAAAGTGTCTTTGAAGAATTGATAATTATTCTATTTCTAATCTCTTTGTCTGTATGTATAGGAAAGATGGTCACCAGGAACATCAAGTCAAGCCAGTCTTTTAAAGAGCTCCAACCAGAAGAATAGCTTAGTCTAGGACCAGAAGAAAATAGATCCTGCTCCTACAGTGCCCATCTGGTGGCCATTTTCTTGGATATCTGGTTCCCTGCTGGGTTCCATAGAGAGTATTTGGGACAGATTTCACACTGACCATCACCACAAACTTCACAGAAATTGAGTCAGAGATTTTGCTGCTGCTGCTGTGTCCTCTCTGCTCGGTCCTGCTTTCTCCCATGGTCATTGTTTGCATCAGTGGCTGTGATCCTGCATAATCATGGAAGAATATGTAGTGGCAAGGGAAGATGCAGTAGAACAACCTAACTAGAGAATATTTGAAAATAAGTTTCACCATGAACATTATTGCATGACATGATCCCTTCTCTATCTCTTTGGAATGTTTCTCATCTTTGGAACTGTTGCCTAACAAGGGAAACTGAGACTTCAAATCCTTGTGTGGATAGGGTTAGTGCCCTGACAAACTGTCTTTTCCCTGTGCCCAATGAAACAGAAATTCTCATATTCTTATTTTTATATTTTATTGCATTTTCTTCTGATATTCCATCATGACTGTAATATAGGGTAAAGAGAAGCTGTCCTGCAGTTACCCCATCTTTGCTTATTACTCCAATGTTAATAGACAAGGAGAGGAAAGGTGGGCAAAATGCCCTGGCGGGTGTTCCTACTCATTTAGAAACTCAAAGGAAGCTGACCTTAATATCTAGTAGTTTATTTCATAATTATTTGTTTTGACCCCTACATGTCTCCTGTGTCCATTCACTTTATATCTTTGCTTCTTTTAACAGGTGGTCCAAGACCTTTCCATCCCTCTACATTTGTAGAAAATGTAATAAGCTAATAATTGTGTTTACTGTATAGTTTTTCTGACACTAATTTTTCTTCATTATCTATACCATTAAATTTTAATTTTAAAAGTTTTATTGTAATTTTAAATAATTTGGAGGTCCACACTTCTTATACATAGGTAATCTTCAACTTACAATGGTTTGCATTCTAATGGATCAATGATTGTTATTCTTTTTTTGTTTCTGCTGTCTCCGAAGCAGTGTGTGCTCAGTAGCAATCGAGATTCATATTTTCAATGCTTATGTTTCCATGGGTGATTGATGCATAGTACTAATATTCTTCCTGATACCAATCAGGGGTAGCACACCAGAGTTTCCAATTAAATATAAAATGATTAGAAAAATAGGCTTTTTGTTACATGTATTTGCCCAACAACAGAATCATGGAAGTATTCAGAGAGTCATGTAAGGTAGCTTGGATACCTAAAATGTTTCTCTAAGATTTTTGTAATAGACACATTTTTTTGTCATTTGTTGGGCTTGTACTCAGCCTGGGTGCTCTCCCTCAGCTGTTCAGCTCAAGGCTAGCTCTCTACCACTTGAGCCAAAGTGCCACTTTGGTTTTCTGAGTGGTTTATTGGAGATAAGAGTCTCACACATACTTTCCTGCTCTGGCTGGCTTTTAACCGTGATCCTCAGATCTGAGCCTCCTGTGCAGCTAACACTACAGGCCATTCAGGACATTGCAATACAAGCCTCTGGCACCCAGATTGTACTTATGTATTTTTGACAAATAATATATCCAAACTACAATGAATTTTTCTGGATGTAATGATAGTGTTTAGCATAATTTTCATTCTATGATTGAATTTTTTAAAACCTTGTAATCAGCATTCTATAATATCTTAATAGACTCTATGTTTGTTTCTGTATATGTATTTTGCATGTGTATGAAAATAGGTGAAGAATTCCTGCTTAAGTTGATGACCACCCACAGTGGGCATTATTCCCAATGTTGTCTATTCTTTTTGAATTCATGGCAATTTATTTTTATAAGAGTTCATCTATTTCCTGATCTCTCAGAATTATTAAAAGATGGTTATGTCAAATCTTTAATATATTGGTAACTGATTTCCTCCTCACAATGGCAAATTGTGTCTTTCCATTATGTTTTTCTCCATTTTTCCTGAGGGTTATAAGTACTAAGCATCTTTTAAAAATATTTATTTTATTGTGATTATAAGGTTGAATTACAGAGGAATTATAATTATATGAATCAGATGAGTACAGTGATAATGGATAATGAGATAATATTGTACTATCTCTTCTGTTCCCTCACTCTCTCCCAGTCCCGCCCTCATGTCTCCACCTATGAAATATATAAAGCTGTATAGTTCACTTCCATCCATGTCCAGTGAGTTCCACTGCTGCACCTATCCACAATTTTTACCTCGAATTTTACACAATTCAGTATTTCCTCAACCCTCCTGAGCATGTACACTTGAATTCACCATATATAAAGAAAAGAGAATCATCAAAAATTAAAAGAAGAAAGACAGATCTTTTGTTCTGTATCATTGAGTTCATTTAGATATATATGTATATATACATATAATTTTATATAAATATAAAGAGGCATGTATACATTCTGCCTAATTGTTTCTCTCCTAAGACTATTCTCTTTTGGTCAGATTTTGTGTAGATATTTAGAATCCTGTATGATTTATTACATCCCAATGCTGTCTTATGGTAAACCATCTACACATAGATTTCTCTTGGGCTCTGACTTAGACCAAACCACACTGTCCTCATTTTGACCATTCCTTCCAGCAGGTGGCAGGATTTATACACCACTATCCAGTGAAGAACATTAGGGGTAGGGCTGGCAACCTTGTAACAATAGGCTCTTGATATATTTAGCCAGTGATTTCTCCAGGCCCTTCACCTGCAGACCTCTGGAACACCAGAGTCAGCCTGTGGAAGTTCAAGATTGTAGAAATTTATTCTCTTCACAGGTAGAAAAAGCTCTCACAGGCCTCTGGCCCAAAGCAATTTTTCTGGTTATTAGGATGGACTCTGCCTTGTTCTCCTCACTACCTGTTACAGACAACTTCTCTGACCTGATGTAGCTTCGAGATTGCTAATATTCACAAACAGAAAGGAAGAGTCTGGGTATCATCCTATTTATTTGAAAGGGTAAGAACATAATGAAGACCCAGAGCATATATCATAACACTGGAAGCCCAATGATAAAGAAACATCAGGATATATAAAGATATTGTCTCAATGTCCTTTCCCTTACTCTCTGATTTGGTTCTGACCACCTTCCACGTGAGACTACATGCTTCTTCATTATTAGTGTTCCACGTGAGGAAGCAGATTTTTGATAAATTAGTCTCCTTGCTTTTTTGAATTATTGTATGTCATCGTAAGATGGTTAAACATAGCATGTACATTGATAACATGTGGTCTTAAGTCAAAGATTAAAACTTCTAGCTGGAGATAGTGGCATATCACAAATGCTGAGGTAATTTTGGTCTTTTCTGGTAGCAACAAGCTTTTGTTTCAGCTCCATAGCCATCAAACTACAGGAAATGGCTTACTTAGGCCATTGTTATAATTGCTTCCCTTGCTTTAAGTGTTTTTCTAATTTATATAGTAAAGACAAATAAGGGAAAGTTTGCCTCAGTCTTATACCTGATCTTAAGGAGAATCCACATATTTCGGGGTGGGGGCGGGTGGTGGAGGGGCTTGAACTCTGGGCCTAGGCACACTATCCCTGAGCTCCTCAGCTCAAGGCTTGTACACTAGTACTTGAGCCACAGTGCCACTTCCATTATTCTGGTGCTTAATTGGAGATAGAATTCTCATGAACTTTCTTGCCCAGACTAGCTATGAACCATGATCCTCAGATCTCAGCCTCTTGAGTAGCTACGATTTCAGGTGTGAGCCATTGGGGCCCAGTGAGAATCCACATTTTATTTTATGTTTATATGTGTGTGTGTTGGAATAGACTGAGACATAAAAACAGCTTATATCTCTCTTGCTATGGCAGTGAGAATGTTCCAATGCATAAAGATATTAAACTAGTTTAAAATGTCCAGAAACTCTATTCTCTCCATATCTTCACTTCCTCCATACACAGAATATAAAACACTCATTTTGGCTTTATCTTATCCCTTTCTAGAGTCCTTACAGAGAATTGAGATTAGGACACACAGGAAAAGCAGGTCCTCATCCCTGCAGGCACCAGTAGATCTACTTATAGAACAGCAGACTGATTGTGACTTGTCCTGTTTGAATGAATCATATTCTCTGGTCTAACACTAAGACACATGGGCACCATGGACCTATGATGATTTCCTGAGATGAGCCAGCCTTGCAGCTATATCCATCTTTGATTTGCATTTGCCTAGAAAACATCCTACTGCCACAATGAATTCATAATAAGCTGTTCACACCTTTGCAGCAGTGAGTCCCAGTCAGCACACAGCATGGACATGAAGATTGCTACTCATCTCCTGGTGCTCCTGCTGCTCTGCCTCCCAGGTAAGGAAGGATAATACTTCTCTCACCCTGTGTGTTCAGTGGTGTCTGTGGCTTCAGGGAAGTCCTGTAATAACATGAGTAATAATGTGGATATTGGCTTTTGTGTTTCCAATGCCAGGTACCAGTTGTGACATGCAGATGACCCAGACTCCATCCTCCCTGTCTGCCTCTCCAGGAGACACAATCACCATCTCCTGCAGAGCCAGTCAGGGTATTAGCAGGGTATTAAACTGTTATCAGCAGAAACCATGGAATTTCCCAAAGCTCCTGATCTATTACACTTCAAGGTTGGAGTTTGGAGTCCCAACCTGGTTCAGTGGCAGTAGATCTGAAAAAGATAATTCTCTCACCATCAGCAACCTGGAGCCTAAAGATTTTGGCACTTATTACTGTCAACAGCATGTTAGTTACTCTCCCACAGTGATATAAGCCAAGATAAAAACCTCCCAGGGAAGCAGAAGTGAGATGCTGGCCTGCCCTTGCTGCTTTGTCTAGTTCTTCTACAGGTTGACACTGCTTCTCAGATGCAGCCAGACCCTTAAGGAAGAATTCTCTGCAATCTAGCATTCTGTTCTTCTTAGCCCTAGCAAAATACCAATGTAGTGAGTCTGATTTAATAGTTGAAACCAATCATTACATATGAGGAGTGCCCATATCTGGACATTCCACTTCACTAAATTATAAAATTGCTTATTTTCAATCAGTTTCTTCATAGAAACTAAAACAGCTGCTCAAATAAAAATGGTCTTTTTGAGCTTTTCTGAATTGATGTATTAAAGAATCTACAAAACAATTTTTGCTTGCCACTGATCTTCTGTAAGCCAATGTCTTCCTTTCCTCTCCAAGCACATATGTGTTAAGTGATATTTCAATTTCTAACTTCACAAATATCCGGTTTACAGTACAAAATATTTCTATAGTTGGTCCTTCAACTGTTAGAAATGTCTTAACCCCTGCCTCATTCAAGCTAGCTTGGATCAGAAGCTTAGGAGCTTTCCTAGTTTTGGTTGATGTCAATATACCAGCTGGTATCCACCTGACTCAGGAATCAACCGCATGGATAATAAAGACCTCCAATTCTATTGGCAAGTCCATCTTCTTCAACTTAATTTCCATTTGTTAGAAAAGGTGTCTACTACTGTTCCTCAGGAGAAACATAAAAATACAAGAGCAAGATGATCTCAAAGACAAGGAAGAAATTAGATAATTTCAGAAAAGTGAGCATTTAGTGCTTCAAGAAGCTCATGCAGGCTCTGAAGCGTGTGCTAAGAATTGTGAATGTAAAAGTAGGAATTAAGAGGTCTCACATCGTAGCACAATTCTCAGTCCAGTTTGTTTGTAATTAATAATGGACTCAGAAAAGAAGATAAAGATGAGTTCTGACACAATGCCCTTCTATTAGCATCCTCACAGAGACAAAGACCAGGAGGGAAAAGGAACCAGGACAAGCACCACAGCAGCAGTGTTGAACTTGGGTTCAGAGTACTTCAGAAGCAGAGAGGACTAATTTGGTGCCTTCTCCCATGGCTCAATATAGCAGAATCAAAGGTACAAACCCTTGTGAGGAAAAATCTCATTCCACAGCCCTCATTCACCTATGATAGGTTTCTGAATTTTTAAAAATATAATTCATATGAATGTAAAGCTTATGAAATATGGTTTATTTTATGTCAATATTCTTTTACTCAATATGCTTTCAATGCAAATTCAATAAGAATCATTTAAAACTATACAGATTCTTGCAATAAGAGGATGCGATATGTTTAATTCATTGCGTGACAAAGTGGAGAATATATTTATTTTGTTGAAGCTTCCTGACTCATACATAGGAGCCATTCCTTATTTATTTTTATTTTTCAGACAGGTAGCATGCTTGTACCTTAATTGGGCTGGCAATGCACTTTCAACTTCAGACTTTATATTCTTATAATATGGAAGAATGAGTTTGGATCTTTTCACTGAAACTTAAAATCCAGGATGAACTTGGGTTAGAAAGGGTTCAAGATTTCCCTTTCTTCTATGATCATAAACCAGGCACCACTCAGAGCCCCACTGATTGTAAATAGATATAAATTGAGATCTAGCTAGAACAATGACTTAAAAGAGAGGTTTCTCCTGCAGTCCTAATTTCTTTATGAAATGGACAGTGAATAATGTTTACAAATATCACTGGGATTACAAAGAGACTCTAGAAATCTCTTGAGAATGTACAATGCCATTAAGATATTAGAAAAGAATCAGGTCTTGAGACAAGTTGTACAAACATCCACAGACAAGGCTGGACAGTCGTTAGAGACACATTCACTGGATCTAAACCCGCAGATCACATGGATTCCTCAGAGCCCTGATTCTTTCTTGAATAGAGTACTTGCATCCTCCACAGGGAGGAGTCCAGAACACAGTCCCATGGGGCTATGCAACCTGTCCTTAGTCCTGTTTGAAACAGATTCCATATTCCAGTGGATGAAAATTATTGGTCATAAAATCAACAGATCTCATTTTCCTTTTTTGTATTATTATTATTAAGTTTTATTATTGTGAAAATACCATACGGAAGGGTTACAATTACTTGAGCAAGGTAATAAGTGCATTTCTTATCAAGTATTGTTGCCTCCTCCTTTGTTTCCCCTTACCATCCCTGCCCTCCCATCTTCCCTCCTCACCTGCCAAAGGTGTAAAGTTCGTTTTTCAACATAACAGCATGTACATCTCATTATTGCAATGGGTCATTTTACTGACTTGAGAAGAGATCAAGACTTTCTCTCTCTTGCTTTCTCTCTGTCTCTCTCTCTCTCTTTCTCTCTCTTTCTCTCTCTCTCTGTGTCTATGTTTGTCTCTCTTTTCTGTGTCTCTCTTTTTTGCTCATAGAGGGACAACTGGATATACTAGTTACCTGTTAAGCGATGATATTTCCACTCATTGGCAAAGGATAAATTCAGAGGCATGTATGGTTGGGTAGCAGTGATTTCTGTTGAAGTAATCATGTCCAGCATCAACATTTATCACTTCATGCTGATAAACAGTGAGAAGTAATATCAAATAGCACAAAGGTATGAGAGGTCTCAGTACAGAAAAAGTACTGGGGATACCTAATATTGCAATAGTGGCAAATTTATGAGTCATTATCAAAAAATCACAAGCTTCCATGGTATGGATGCTTTTGCTCTGGGCTCCAGGTGAGGTAGGCAGAAAAGGTTACTCACACTCATCACGGTCATTGCTGCTCTTTGATTTGCAGGGTTCTCAAACTGATTGTCAACTCTTTGATGCTCAATTTTCTGTTATTAAAGTGTCTGCCGTGACAAGTTAAAGCTGTCACTAATGCAATATGCCTACATTACGATGGTCTCAGTACATCTGTGGCCATTCTTGAGATATTCTTGATTACCATTCCAGGCTCCACTGGAGACATTGTACTGACTCCAACTCCTGCATCTCTAGCCCTGTCTCCTCAAGACATGGCCATCATCACCTGCAGAGTCCGTGAGAATGCTGATAATGAATTTTGGAGAGTTTCAGGTATTGGTATCAACAGAAACCAGGACAGTCTCCAAAACCTCTGAGCTATAGAGGATCCAACAGGGAAAGTGGGGTCCCAAACCGGTTCAATGGCAGTGGGTCTGAGACAGATTTCAACTTCACCATAAATCCAGTGGAGGCTGAAGATGCTGCAAATTGCTATGGTCAGGAGAATAACACGTTTCCTCTCACAGTGCTCTAGCTGAAACAAAATATTCTTCAGACAGCTGCTATCTGAGGTTCACTGTCCCAGGTGTTTCTCTTCCACTGAGCACTTCAACCAACACTCTCTAGATTTGTTTGTATAAACTGGTCAAACTATAAGAAAGAAAATGGAACAACTGGAATGTGTGTGTGTGTGTGTGTGTGTGTGTGTGTGTGTGTGTGTGTGTGCATGTGAAAACAAAATCAGATGATCATTTGGTATTTTCCTTCCTACCTAATAACCACTTAGGAATTTTATACTTTGTACTTTTTTCTAGATGAGCAAGGCCCTTGAAAAGAAAAAAATTCTGAATTTTAAGAAATACTTACTTTCTGTGATGGATCTTACCTGCAATCACAATCTAAGCTATGTGTAGGACAAAATTAGGAGGACCAGAGTTTCAGGACATCCCAGAAAGGTGACCAGATATATTTCTTCATAAAAGACATGATGGCACATGCCTGGATTCTAACATATGGGAGAAGCATAAGAGAAAGTGTTTAGCCTGAGACTGGGCTGGGAAATTGTGTTAGACACAATAACTGAAAAATAAACAACATTTCATAAGAAATGTACTCATTACATTGCCCATGTAATTGTAAACCCTCTGTATGGTATTTCACAATAAAAAATAACTTAAACAAATAGGGCATAAGATATGACTCAAATGATAGAACATCTGTTTATGTCAAGAGTTAAAAAACATGTTGGTATTAATTTAATTAACTATTTATTCTAGTAGGTGGAAACTCATTTCAAAAACAAAAATCTCTGAATAGACAAAAATCTATCTCTCTTCCAAATATAGTTTGATATTCCTATATTAATTTGAATTTTGAGTTTATATTAAAAGGCCACTGTACTTGCTCAGACACCTTAGAAATGCGAGACAGTATTCCTATATCATGTTATTCAGGTATGCCTATGTTCATATCATTCTGGAATCTAGATTCTCTCTATCTTATTTAATATAGACTAGAAAGATGCCATGTCCTCTTTCTATTATACTTTCTGTATTCATGTTTACCACTTTCTCTCAGCAACTCTCAGCTTCTTTTTTACTATTTCATGAGTCACTCTAACATTGCAGATAGAATATTTGCAGAGAAAATCACATGATTAAGGCTAGCCTGAAAGTCATAGTAATATCGTGTCAAAAAATAAAGAAACAAAACAAAAGAAAGAAGGCAAGAAGCAAGGAAGGAAGGGGGAAATAGGAAAGAGAAATGTAACAGAATCGACTCTAGAAGCATAACTGCCTTTTCATAGATTTTACAAAACCAAGAGTACTTGAGATGACACCTGGAAACTACCTTGGCATTTCCATTTATTGGTAAATATTTTAACATTAAATGTATTATTAATAAATTATCTTTTTTGATAACTTCACTTTGATCAGATGCTTTTACATTACCTATAAAATTTAATCCACCTGACAAATATAGGGAATAGCTAAAGTTATTTCTTTATTAATGGAAGGCCTCTGGAGTTGAGATATGGAACAGGAAAAAGCAATGTGGTAATGGAAGATTACTAAAAATCTACACATTCACTTAAACTAAAATATTTATGAAAACCTAAAACAAGCAAAGGTCACTTGTTTATATGGTTAAACTTGAAAATTTACAAACCTAATAAGGCCAAAACAAAATTTTAAACACAATAACTTGTTTTTTTAAATTTTTACTTGTTTGTTTTCTTAATGTCAAAATATAATATCAGCCACTTACTTTTATTTTTGTTTTTCATCTAGCATTGGCTAAAGCAATTTATTAATTATTGTTATGACAAATTATCTTAGCAGCCAAGAAAAAAATTCTTAAATAGCAAAATTCATCCAACTAAGTACAAGCTTAAAAAACAGATGATTATTTTAAGCAGACAAAACTAAAAAGTTACCTCACCAAAAATCAT